CAAATTAAGGATATAATAAATATACTTTTTAGTAATTAATTTACATTAAAAAAATATAAAAATTGATATTTATTTTAATATCATTGATACAAATAAAATTTTAATTGACTAACTGAATAAACTAAAGTTAACATGTATATTTTTCGCACAAATTAATTAAAAAAAATGTAAACCATTTGTTAATAATCAATCATCAATTAAAAATAGGCAATCTTCATATTCATGCTTTGTAATTGATTATTGAGAGGCACTTACTGTGTGCAGTTAATTCCAACAATGACTTAATTAATAAACCTTGCATTAACTTTAAGTAATTGAGATTTAATGGAAGGACCTAATCGAGGAGATGAAAAACATTTCAGGGACAATTGCGTATTTTGGGAGTTGAATAAATGATAATTTTAAACCTTTTCAAGAATACAAAGAACTGGCAGTTCTATCAATCCTAGATTTTGAAAAGAAATGATGTTAACTTATTGTACGAAAGAAATTCGATAAAAGAAAAAACCAATTATGTAGGGATGATTGTTGTTAGGTCAATCATTCGAGTTGCACTTTCGTCTAATCAAATTTTATGCTTGCTTCATATATAATATAAAGATTAGTGTTTGAGGAAAAACATTTAAGATTACACCATTTCAATCAAATAACACAAGAAAAAAACTAAACAAATCTTGTTTTAAAAATTAAGATGTTTTAGTTTTTTTTAATGGAAGATATTGAAATAATGTAATTTTAAAATATTTTTTCACTTCATTTTTTTTCAAATTTGGTTGATAAACATTTTTTTTTATAAATTAAATAAATAAGACGTGGATTAGAGCTACTTACCATATACACAACTAGTAAGATATCGATTATGAAATAATTCCACTGCATAAACAAAATTAGCCAGCGGTAAGAAAACACCAGTTAGGTGTATATGATTGTTGTTAAAAAATAATATTGTTTGCTAATAGTGATCATCAGCATTTGATGGCTGACGAAAATTATATCTCTCATTGCATTTATCTAAATCAAACTAGCATTATCAAACTTGTTTGTGGGTTGTTGAAATG